TGTGTTTCCCGTCAGCTTGCAATTGTGTGGGTAGCGGTGGGTTTGGTAATCAGCGAAGCAAGTGCGTTGGACAGCTGCGCGTTGTCTGAGTACTGAACGTCGTGCGCTTGCAATAAAGTTTGCGGCATGTAGAGCGGATATGGCGGGTGATAGTGTTGTGTGTTTGCCGCACCAAACCGAAGCGGCACGGAATTCGTGTCCTTAGCGCACTTTAGGCTGTGGGTTGCCATAGTGAGTGTCGTATGTGTAATGTGTCCTGTAATGGGTGGGGGGTAGTGGGAGTGAAGTTTTTGTCTTTCCTGCTGGTGGCGAGCCGATGTGCCGTGATTTGAAGCCCAAAAGTTTTGGAGTGGCGGAAAAAGGGTTCTCGTGCTTGCAACCAAAGTTTTTTTCCGGAGGGTAACAGGTCTTCATGTGGAATTATGTGGGCCAGTCTCATGAAAGATATTGAGGTTTCCGTGGATTCCAGGTGGTGAGGAATTCTTAGGGGGAGGTGTGGAGGGTGGGTAAAGGGACGTGCCATACGGTTAGAGGAGGTATCCTCCTTCCTCTTTTTTGTAAAATTATTTATTGGTAAAAAAAGTTTCCACATTTTTCTTGTATTGCTTTTTTTTATCTTCTATCTTTCTTGTTTGGAGTTTAGTATGTGTGTGTGTGTGTGTCTGTGTGTGTGTGTGTGTGTGTGTGTGTGTGTGTGTGTGTGTCTGCGCCCGTGGTCGTGGGGGTGGGGCGACCCCTCCCCAACCAATCAATTAATCAATCAATCAATCAATCAATCAATCAATCAATCAATCAAAAAAATAATAATAAAAAAAAAAATAAAGAAATAAAAACATGAATTTTAATCAATCAATTAATCAATCAATCAATAAATCAATCAATCAATAAATCAATCAATCAATCAATCAATCGCGGGGGGAAGAACCCTCCCCCACCAGTCAATCAATCAATCAATCAATTAACGGAAAAAAAAAAATCGACGAAACTAATCAATCAATCAAAGGCGGGGCGGGGTCACCCCGCCCATACCAATCAATCAATCAATCAACGAAAAAAAGAACAAGAAAAAAACGCGTTCTTTTTTTTTCCAATTTCGTTCGATTTCGCCCATACCCCCCCAACCAAAAGTTGTTTTGTTTCGTTTTTTTTTTTGGGGGGGGGGGTGGGGCCGGGGATGCGTCGCCACGTGGCGTCTCCCGATTTTCGAAAGTCGCTCCCCTGCGGCCGTCACGTGGCTTCAAAGCCGCGCGTCCGCGCGGATGCGTTCGCGGGGTCTGCGGACTGGCCGCGCCCGCGAATTCGGCCGCGGATAGCCGCCGCCGAGGGGGATTCATAGCCGACAAACCCAGAATACCGATTTTGAGAAGGGAAGTAATATCGCACACCGATCTTTGCGACAGCTTCTCGTACGTCCCACTCACACGCGTCCTTTCCTCGTTATACGGAAAGGGGCGAGGTGGGGATACGGGAGGCCGGCGCCTAGTCGGGCTGAGCCTGTCAGTCCACATAGCAATCAATCAGATGCCAAAGATATCCTCAATCATTCATCGTGGGCCCATAATCGATACTAGTCGAAAAACACACAACCTATCGATCCAACCAGAAAGCCGGAATCAAAACTCCTAAAAACGAAGCAGGAAAGAAAAGTTCAGAGAGAGACAAAAACTCATGTGTGGTGAGACGCGGCCATTGTTCACCTGTACTGATCGCATGTGGCTTTGGAGTCTCTCATTGTTCTACGAGGGTATGCTGCATATGTTGTGCAGCATAAGGCAGATGGCATGTGCAGTGTGTCCCAAACTGCAACTCCCGAGGTACTCTTCTGTAATCACAGCATCAACAAATCTAAACACTCTTGCATTCTCGAGCAAAATCCCAACAACATTGCCCCTGTCATCGATCCGTCCGGACAGTATCCCAATCAAGACGAGTTTCATGCTCGATCATTTTCATCCCATATGCATACATTCACTGTGGAAGGTGCGAAAACGGCACATGCAATGCCCCTGCCCTGGCGTGTCAAAGGCAAGTAATCACAATCCGTTTAGATCGCCGATGGTCGCTACACACGCATTCCCCGTTCACAAGACAAGACGATCAAATCTCAGTAGGTCTGGGGATTACCCAGGAAACTAATGGAAGAGTTCCGGAAGAAGTTCTTCCGAGCACACATTCACAAATGCTCATTCCATCACAATTAAAAAATTGACTCATCATGCATAGTTTTTCATATCAGCGAGAAAAGAGAAAGAGGGAGGAAGAGACAGGCGAGAATATCAAGCCAGGAGGGAAGAGTTACACTGAGATTGGGAAATGCAAAGAAGGTCCGACTTTACCGCTGTGAGCTCACACCAAAGAATGGATTCGCAATAAGGGGGTCGTACTCGCCCCCAAATTCCAACATGGCCCCGGGTCAGTCATCCAATCAACTCGGATCACTCATCCTCATTTATGCACCGACGATCCCGGCCGTCACGTGTCACCATCCACCACTGCGATCGTCACCCCGCCAACTTAGCCTCGACGTGGCTTGCCCGGATCCCACAGTCTGTTGTGGTGATCTAGCGCACAGCCAATCTGTATACAATCAGCCCGTCAGGACGTTCCGACTCGCACAATACACACATCATCTAGCCACTACTTCCCGGGAGCTGGCTGACGAGTTGAGAGAGAGATTTGCGGATGCGCCGGCGAAATTTATAGTTGCGAGAAGGGGGAGAGATGCAGGAAAAGATGAAGAGTAGGGTAGAGGAGGGTAAGGGAGGGCTTGAGAGTAATCGTCCGTTGAAAGTCATTTTAATCCCTCACAACCCGATCTCAACCAATCAAAATCGTCGCGCACGGCGCTTCTCCTGGGCTAGATGGGGAGAGAGGATCGACTGGGTTTTTCGAGCGCGGGTCTTAGAGCGAGAAGAAGAGGAGTGTGAAGGATAGCGCGAAACGGGTCCAACATTCAGATGATCAAGAAAAAGAAAAAGGTTGCGCACTGGGAAGGAGAGAGAAAAACAGTTAAAGGGGGAGGGAGCGAGAAAGCATGCGCGCGCGTGTGAAGGCGCTAAGAGGGGCGCAAGAAGGAAGGAGGAGGGAGCTCGTTTGCATGGTCCCGAACAGCAAAAGAAGAATGGGCACCGAAATAGTTGCAGTTTTTCCCAACCCTACGCTAATTCAAAAATTGAAATCACCATATCCGTGCGAAAAGTAGACGCGGAAAAAGAAAGTAAGTCCTACGCTAATCCGTATTCCTACAAAATTCCCAGACTCTTCCATGTCAAGGCCAAGAACATTCGTGCGTGAAAGGTCACGCCGCGTTCCGTTAATTCCGGAATTCCTAACTGTCGAGCCAAATTCCAAGCGCGCTCACTAAGGCGCGCGAATTTCCCATGCCTTTTTCAGATTAAAAAAAAGGGCGGAATTTCAAGAGCTACCAGTGCTAACAACATACAGATTTCAACGAGGTACCTTTAATCGAACAAAAACAGAGGGGGGTTGTTGGGGGCCGATCAGGACACCTCTAGATGCAGAGAAAATATGGGGAGGGGAGGGGTCCGAAAGATGGCGCAGGTCCGGAAGCTGGTTCGTCACTCTCAATTTCACCTCACAATACCTTGCTACCACTCCTCCTAATTGTAATCATAGCGGAACCCGTAGCAGCCAGAACCATGTTCACAAGCGAACATGTGGGGGCTGCTCCAGGCCTGCAGGTGGGCAATACTGGCCAGGGGACAGCCGGTAGCATCAGGGACCATGCCAAAGGACGAATCCCTGTGCCTCCCCTCAGGCCCCCATCTTATAATGTGTAACTTTAATGAATGTGCTCAGAGTGGTCTGTTGTGGAGCCAGGCCCATTGGCGAGGGGTCTGGCCAGGCCCAAAGAGATCCTGGCCATTGATAACTTAGAACGAATGGCCAACCTCTCGTATAGGGCCTCACTCCATTACACAACACTCTACATGCATTTGGACACTTTAGTAGGACCCCCTATATTCATTATGTTGGACTCGCCGAGTGCACGTGGTTTGGAAAGCGTCGAAATGCCTGTAGACTGTTGTGCACTAATCAAATGTGCAAAATGAAAATGAATCTTTCCGCGAGATTACAGCGATCTGAAGTGGAAGTGGTGCTTTGCTTTTGGATGATGATTTCTCCTCTCTGTTCAGTCGCCAGGGTTCTGTTATGTACTGCACCCTTGGATCAGGGATTGTGCTAATTAGGGTTGCACCGGGGAGACAGGGCCTTTGTCAACTTCACGTCGCAATTACAGAATGAACTACCAAGGGTTTGACTGGGATCTCCAATTTAGTCAGACTCTTTTTCCCTGCTACCATTCCCCCCCCCCAATTTGTATGGCGCAGAACGGCTCAAATAGTTTTCTAGTCGAGTTGAGCAGGGCAGAGCTTGACTTCGCACGGAATGGGGTTAATGCTTCCTTATTTGGGAGCCAATCAATGCCCCTTGTCCGTGCTATTTAGCAGTGGATGAGGCTCTTCCAGCTCTAAGGGCCTAGTTGCACTACTCGCCATCCGTCACATGTCATGGCGGATGCGTGGAGAGTGAAAAAACTGAGAATCATGTTGAACTCGAGGCCTGGTTGCACTTACTCGCCACTACATTTCTTCTACAGAAAAGTTAAAAAGTTTTGTCTAAATGATGTCGACTCGTGAAGCCCTGCACTCTCCAGAAAGTTATTTTGTGGAGAGGTCCGAGGACCACCGTCCACAAACCGCTGTGCACAGGCGGGGAATTCACTCTCCACAACTTGTGTCGACTGACACATTTTGCATTCGCCAAGTTTGGCGAGTAAGTGCAACCAGGTGCCTACTCGCCAAACTTGACGTATGGCGAGTAGTGCAACTAGGCCCTAATGGAAAGAGGAGTGGCTTCGCTTTCTGTTTAATGTGAGCCTTGGGCACTGGACCCCTTTACAAAAAGGAAAAAGAAAAAAAAAAGAAGATACACCGCTGTACTTTTCGTCTTTAGTGCATGTGGGTAGAATAGTGGAGCCAGGCCCTCGCTCCGTGCAAGTGGGACGTCGCCCCGATAGTGGGTGGTATTTCCTGCTTTCTACCGGTCGTAGTTCCTACGTACCACCGCACGTACTACCGGTAGTGCAGTCACAGACGAAGGAGCGAGGAAGTAGAGTCGCTCGATCAGTCAGAATTTCCTTTTTTGTGATAACTTTAGGCAGTGGAAACATTTTCGGAAAAGAAGGGGTAAAAAACCCATTTTTTTGGCCGTTTTGGGGAAGAGCTGCAATAGCGGGAAACGGATGCCGCAGGTCGATTTTCGGACGGGTGGCAATCTCTGGCGTTGTCGCAGGCGTGCTGAAATCTGTCTGCTTGAATTTAGGCAGGAAAACAGGCAAGGGGAGAGGGCGGGTGGGACAGCTCAGGTGCCGTCGTGTGGAGAGGTCGTGAGAGGGGAGAGCGGAGAGAGCGAGGGGAGGAGGACGTGGGCCGATGGATTTGGCGCCACGCACCTGGAGAGTGCCGCAGGAGCGGCCCTCCACGCGTCGCCTGCTCGGATCTGTTATCAGATACTGCCGGCGGGGCCGTCAGGTGCATCTTGCGGCGAGGTGACGTCAACATCAGTGTGTCGCTACGCCGCCACTTGCGCATGGAAGCTTCGCCGTTCTGCTGCGCTGTCGTCCGATGGCCGGAGTCGAAATTGCCACGTGTTCATGGAAGGCCGCCGCGGTGGGAAGCTGATCACCGGCTGGCGTGCGCCCACCGCCGGGTTCCGCCGCCGCACGCGCGGGCGGCAAGCGCGAGGCAGCGCCGGCGCCATGGGGTTGGCGCGAACGAGTGGTGACAGTCGGGACCTCGGCGGGAGGAGCCGCGTGCCATTCTGGTGCACGTGGCTTATAGGCGACCCCACTGTCAGCTTGATCGTAGAGGGCCTGCTGAGGAGATTGGCGGGAAGAGGCGGGAGACGCGGGAGATGATAGGAGAGGGGGGGGGTATGGACGGCCGTGATGTATGCCCGGAAATCGGCGGGGAACATGATGGAACTCGTCTTGGTGAGGTTGGAATTGGAGGGAGGCCGGGGCCAACTCTCTCCTGCCCGCTTCCCCCTGCTCCCCCGCTCCCCCGGTCCCGCGCTCCCCTCCATCTCTCTGTGTTTTTTTTGTTTCTTCTGTTTTCCTTCTCTAGCTTGATTGCTGTTCTAGATTCCCCCCCCCCCGGCCCCCCCGCTCCCTCTCTCTCTCCCCGATTCTCCCTCTCTCTTCGCCTCTGATCGGGTCTCTGTCTCTGTTTCTTTCTCCTCTTGAAATGACGAAACAGAAGGAACAAGTGAGAGAGAGAGAGAGAGAGAGAGAGAGAGAGAGAGAGAGAGAGAGAGAGAGAGAGAGAGA